CATTTGATAACAGATATGAAGAGGAATTCGAGGAGACAGAAAAAGGGGGGAAAAGAGAAGAAAAGGAAATGGATACGAGTCAAAACGATACGGAAAGCGAAAAACTACGAAGTTACGAGAGAGTGGGAGATGGTTTGGTTAGTCTTGTCATAGCCTGATGAGGGCATCGAAAAGTTTTGAACGAAAAAACGAAACAATGATGGGTGAGAAGATGAATCATTGTGAACAGACCCCTAAGGGCAGGCAGTCTGAACGAGTTCATAACAGTCATTCTTATCATATAGGTAATAAGAGAAGTTACGTGAAAACTCACGTCGAACTATGACATTATATTAGAATACGTGGATGAAGAACTCGTTGTTCGATCATCACTTCACGTGAAAACCACGTGAACAACGTATAGCTTTGCATTCTTCATTGCAATGTTGTGCAGAGCGGTTGTATTGAGATTTCGGAGGAAGTCTCAAAGAAGAAGAGGAGTAGAAAAAAATGGAGTAAAAGTAGGAGTGTGAGGGTTTGTTTCATGAGGGGTGACAAGGTTAGCAAATAGAACGTTGTTCTATCAGTTTTAAAATGAACCGCACAGCACAGAAATATGAACGAAGAGATACTCATGCATGCTGTTTATAGTTTGCTACCAGAAAGAGGTTTTCTGTCTTGTACTTGAAAAACTCATTTGGGGGGAGGAAGAGCAAAACACATGAACCTGTTACAGTCGTTTGTCTGGAATAGACAAACGACGCAAGGAAGAAACATTCTATTGATAAGGCATGAGATTTCTCGAAATATAATTGTATAGCCTCCACTCATTAGTTTTTCGGTTGCCAGCAGTCAATATGGGTTAGTTGGCAGCTTTTTGTTGGGGTGGGGGGCAAGTAGCCTGAAGAACCTCATAAAGGACAAGACTCATGAGATACCAATCACAAACAAGACGTGAAGGTGGAACAGTAGAATCATTTGATAACAGATATGAAGAGGAATTCGAGGAGACAGAAAAAGGGGGGAAAAG